GTGGAGGGAAGTTATTTGATTTAAATAAATTTCATTGTCACTTTTACGATATACTACTGGACCACGATTATGATATTATAATTTACTACTCAATCTGATTTTTATTGGGTACTATTTGGGTAGGATTCTGGAGACTCTATAGGTTGATCTCTGATTAAGCTAGTAATTCCTTATAGACCTAAGGAGTCCCTTGGATAAACCCACAGGCCCTAAGGTACTCCCTTAGGTTGGTTCCTACTCCCAATGGGCCTAGGGTAAGTCCTTATGTATACAGTTCTAGGGAACTGCATATCGGTGTTCGAGTGGAGGGTATTACAATGATTTTAAAAATCTATTTTACTGAAATAAACTACTACTTTTTTAAACTATGTTTATATTTATTTATGGTTTCGTGGGTAGACACTAGACACCAAAATTTTTATCTCCTGAACCTATCTCTCTGAATGCTTCCTCTGGACTGTAGGTTTTCCCATCTATCACCTTAAGAATGAATTAAATAAATCCCAGCTCATCATGAAAACCTATAAATGTCTGAATCAGTAAGAAATTTTTATGCTTTGTCATATATCTACTTGTCTTTTAGCATCATCTGGTAGTTTGTATTACTTAGCTTTCCCAAAACACACTTTGTTACTAGCAATTTCAGGTTCAATTACACATGTCTATATACGAACTTAAATAGGTTTCCAGAAAGTGCTTTAATGCCTTTTCGAATGTAGTATTGAATCTTGGGTTTCAAAAATCTCCTTTTGAGTATCCCTTGTTCAGAAAAGGTTCTCGTGATGAATTCATAGTTCTTTTGGTCTCTGTGAATGACTTCGTTGTGGTTGACAAAGATATGCAATTACTAACCATGTTCAAAGTTTTTTTTTACAATAACACTTCAAGCTAAAAGTGTTAGGTTCCTTACAATATTTTCTAGGATTTGAAATAGTTCATAATGAGTCTAGCATTTCGTTGTCTCATCGAAAGTATGCATTACAATTGTATAAATATACTAGTTGCTTAGGCACGAGACTTGTTGATTCACCTATGATACATTCTTTGTAGTTGAGTGCTAATGAAAAAGAACTATTACTTGATCCTCATGAGTATCGAATGATGATAGGATGCTTGCTATATCTTACAAACACAAGACTAGACGTAGTTCACATTGTGTATCTGTTAAGTTAGTTTGTTTCCTCTCCTCGGATGTCTCATATGACAGCTTTGAAACATCTTTTGACATACATTAAGCAATCTCTTGGTCTTGATTTATTGTTTCCTGCAAAGTCCACGTTATAGTTCGGTGCTTTTTTTACTCGGATTATGGCTCTTGTCCCGATACAAGGAGTTCTACTTCAGGTTTTTGTACCTATCTTGGTGGAAGTATTCTTTTATGGAAATCAAAGAAACAAGCTATTGCTGGTCAATCTTCTTGTAAGACAGAATATCGTGCAATGACAATGATCTCTTGTAGATTGATTTAGCTAGCTTCTTCGCTTTCTTCTTGTAACATTTCTATCGACCATGCCAAATTATTCTGTGACAACTAGGTTGTTCACATTACAACCAATCAAATGTATTACAAACGTACAAAACACATTGAGGTTGATTGCTATTTTGTACGGACAGGGTCAAGACAAAGGTTTTAAAGCTATTTCATGTTCGTTCTTCAAATCATGTGGTCTCCTATGTATCATTCCTTTATAGACAAGTTGGGACTAATCAACATCCATGCAGTCCCATCTTAGGGGGTGTTACAATAATTGTTATGTTATTGTTATGATAGTTAATTTTTATGGTTAACTAAATTAGTTAGATTAACTCGATGTTGTATATATATATAGCTTACATTGTTCTTTTCTTCAGCAATGTGAAAATAAGATTTATCTTCATTCTTGATATTACATAGTTTTCTATTGTTATATTTTATAAACATAGTAAATAACAATTTTATTAAATAAAGTTTATACAATATACTATTAAGAATCATGCCCTGAAATTTTATGTGATTCATTAATCTTAGGTAACTAATCTTTACTTGTACATTGATCACCAATGATGCATGATTTTAGTTAATTTAAATTTAATGTGTATACTTTAAAAGTTTTTACAGGGATCTACACTCAAGTGTCTATTCTAAAATTTGAATATTCTTCAAATTATTATTTATTTTATTGTTTATGTTCATCCTTAAATTTTATTTTTATCCATCCATTTAAAAGTTTTATATAGGTAATATATATATACACACCGACCCACACACTCCACTAATTCTTTGAAGGGTAAACTACTCCAATGGTCACTAATATTTGGATAAGTTTTCGTTTTCATCACTGATGTTTTAAAAGTTACAAATCAGTTACTAACATTATCGTTTGTTACAAATTGGTCACTCACCGTTAACAGGCGTGACGGAAAACACATGTGGCCTGTTAACTGTTGTTAGCAGGCTTACCTTGATGGTATAATTACACAAATAGTCTATGTTATTTGTATATTATTTCAATTTTATCCTAATTTTAATAAATTAAAAATATATTTATTTTTAATTCTTATAAATAATGATATATTTTAAAAAAGGAAATCAAAAATTTAAAATTAATTATAAAACAAAAAAATTAACATTTTTTTAATGTTAGGGTAAACTAATAAAAACAAAAAATAGACTTTTTTTAATAAAATTAACATTTTCACTCCTTGTTTGAATAAGAGATTTGAGATGCTAAAATCTAATAGGGGTCATAGATTTAATATATAAAAAATTATTAAAAAGTTTAATTTGATTTGTACATTGATTTGAACTTGGATTAATTAATTTTAAAAAAATACTTATTTAAACCTTTTTTATTATTTTAGAGAACATTTATTCAAAACTAGGAAAATAACTTTTATTGTTTTATAATTAGATGTATTTTCATTTGCAATTTCTAAAAATCATGTCCATAACTAAACATGTTTTTCCTGATATTTTTATTTTTTAAGAAAAACAAAAAGGAAATGATATTTGTTTTCCAAGCCAAACAAAACCATAATAATTTATAAGTCATGCATTTGTGTGCAGCTCATAATTGTTGAAGTCTTTCTCATTATGAGACTTTTAATACGCTGAAATTCATTCGGTCTACATTGGCCTCCTTGGGACCGATAATTAATGCGAAAATTTTCATACATTTATAAATCCTGATCAATAGAATTTTCTAAATAATTATGAGATAATATATGTTTAAAGATAAATTTTAAATATTTGACATTAATTGTTTTGTACCTTATTATATTCTTGAGGTTTGAACTCAAACTTTAAAGAATAATTTTTTTAACACCGAAATCTTTTTGTTTGCGTATATGAAAAATATTGATTAATTATGTAAAATATGTTTAATTTAAGGAAATATATATTCGAGATTGTCAGATATCTGATCATTATTTTACAGGAAAATGCAAAGTAAATTCTTTATTACTAATTACTATATATATTCGGGAAATAGTTGTCTTTGGTCCTCAAAGAAACAGACTAACAAATCATACCACTGTTTTATACATAAATTAAGAGCAATGAAATATTCTCCTGAATTTTCACTCCAATGCCTTCAATTCATGGTTATGGTTCTTTCGATTTCGTTCACCTACACCGCAGTCGGTCGGCTAGACATTCCGAGGCTTAGTCCGACAAGAGGAACACTCATAGAAAATCCCGAACTTCAATCATCTGCAGCAGTTTCAGATGATCTCCAAACATTTTATTACCTTCAAACACTTGATCACTTCAACTACCAGCCTCAAAGCTACGCCACTTTTCATCAAAGATGAGTGATGAACTTCAAGCATTGGGCAGAGCAAACGGCAGTCCCCAATTTTAGCCTATCTCAGAGCAGAGGCGCCACTCAACAGCGATTTTACCGTAATCGGTTTCCTCAATGATACTGCCATCCGCTTCAATGCTCTCCTCGATTACATAGAGGTAAAAATAAAATTATTTCATCGATAATCAACTGGAAATCTCACAAAAATAATAATATATTTTCATTCAGCACCGATATTATGGAAAATCAATACCCTTTGGATCAAGAGAAAAAGCCTTTAAAAATGCAAGCACTCTGGGGTATTTCAACTCTGCACAAGCTATAGCAGACTATGTGGAAATCATCATGCATATCAAGAAGAAACTCAATGCTTTCTATTCTCCGGTGATCGTCATCGGAGGATCATACAGAGGAAGTAAGTTAGAATAATTAGACTGTAATATACGTTAACTAACACTAACTAATCATTTTTCTTTCTTTAATTCAAATGAAACCTGTGTTTGCTTCATGGCTTCGACGAAAGCACCTAGTGCTAAAATTTAATTTAAAAGATTTAATGACAAATTAAATTATAAGATTATTCAGAAAATGAAAGACTTAATAAATTAATTTTAAAAAATTTTATGCACCAAGTGAAAAAAATTTCTTCACAAACAAGATTTTAATATTCGTATTTATTTAAAGAAAATAAAAAAAAGTTTGGAGAAGAAAAAATGTTAATTTTATTAAAAAAACGTTATTTTTTTTTGTTTTTATTAGTTTACCCTAATATTAAAAAAAAGTTAATTTTTTGTTTTTATAACTAATTTTAAATTTTTGATTTCCTTTTTTTAAAATATATAATTAATTATAAGAATTAAAATAAATAAATTTTAATTTATTAAAATTAGGATCAAATTGAAAGAACATATAAATAACATAGACTATTTGTGTAATTATACCATCTAGGTAAGCTTGTTAACTGCTGTTAACAGGCCACATGTTTTTTTCATCATACTTGTTAATGGCGAGTGATCAATTTGTAACAAACGATAGCGATAGTGACTGATTTGTAACTTTTGAAACATCAGTGGTAAAAACAAAAACTTACCCAAACATTAGTGACCATTGGAGTAGTTTACCCTTCTTTGAATATAAAAGATACATGAAGCATTCTAAGTTTGTTTTCTTAAACATGAAACATTGTAACAAAGAAATATTAGAGGATAGCTGATTTGTTGTTGCAAGAGAAGATTCATTCCACTGCCGATCTATGGCTTCCATCTCGAAGCAGTACCCGGACAACTTCACCCATTGTGGGTCTTTCATCTCTATCTTCCTGAACGCAACGAAGAGCTACATTGACCATAGTTTCCATCTCAGTCTCATCATATATATCTTCCAGCTTGGGATCTATTATTTCATGCTTCCATGTTCCACTCTCTAGGGCTCTTGCCACTTCTCCTCTCACCCATGCAACTAACGTTCTTTGCACTTTTGAACTTCCATCATCACTCACTTCGATTTCCATTGCAGGGCTTTTCCCTGTCACCAACTCCAATAACAAGATCCCATAACTATACACATCAACCTTGGAGGTGATGGGAAGATTTAACACCCACTCAGGTGCCATGTAGCCTCTGGTTCCTCGGATCCTCGAGACTTTTGAATACTTCACGTCGCCTCTATTTAGCAGCCAAGAGAGGCCGAAATCCGACACTTTGGGTCGGTAATTGGAGTCTATGAGAATGTTTTGAGGCTTTATATCACAATGGAGAACCCATTCCAAGCATTCTTCATGTAAATACGCTAGGCCTCTTGCTGTTCCCAAAGCAATATCAAATCTTTTATCCCAATCAAGATAACTTGAAGAGATGTTTTCAGCCAAGGATCCATGTTCCATGTACTCGTACACCAATAACCTGTGCTTTCCCTCCGCACAATAACCCCACATCTCTATCAAGTTCATGTGGTTAAGCTTCCCAATTGTGTTTACTTCAGCTAGGAATTCATCTTCCCCTTTATTAGCGTCGATGAGTCGTTTGATTGCTGCAACTCGACCGTCGGATAGTGTCGCTTTGTAAACGATTCCTCCTGCACCTCTTCCGATCTCTTCCGAGAATGTATTTGTGGCTTTTTTCAGCTCGCCATAGGTGTATTTTCTGAAGCCAGTTGTAGCTAGAAGGTAGCCTGCATTTGAGCTTGATTTATCGTTGGTTCTAATGAAGAAATTCCATACCAACAAAACGGTAATCAACTCCACTCCCCCGATTGCACAAGCTATCCTAAGGACAAATGTAGATGACTTGTTTTGCTGCCTTTTGGTATATTTTCGTTCAAGCTGCTCCACATGGTAGGAGCATTGTAACTCTGGATATTCAACAGTGTCAATGTAAGAAGAGACAATAGCCTTGGGCAGTTTCATGTAGAAATCGTCATTAAAATTAGGTGGGCGATGTCCATTCAACAGTTGTGTCTTGGGGTAACAATATGTACCATCTGATTCATGAGCTTTGGTAAACCTGAACTGAAAACCTCTGCAATCGCACAGCTGCAAGCAAATCTGCTTGCAATCCTCCAAGGTGACGTCAGGATGCATGTTGAAATCATAACCATAGAATTCAACATGGCGGAGCTTGAGGAAATCAAGCTGATCAGTTTGGTTACATGAAAGCGGAAACTCCTGTTCGCAACCGAGGGACCAGTCATTAGGCTTCTTCAGCTTATAACCCGGACTGCAACGACATTTCCTACCAAAACCAGGACTATAAATGCATATGCTGTTCGGTCCACAGCATCCATGAACCATGCATGGTTGAGGGAAGGCTAGCCATGAAACAATCCAAGCTTCACCATCCTCTTTTAGACTATACGACCGAAGATTCCCATCAGAATCCAGTTTCAGCATCCTCGAGATATTCGAACCATAATCAGCTGACAAGAAGGTAAAATTATCTGTTGAGGTAAAATTACCCAAAGAGTCGAGAACAGCTATTTTGGAGTTGTTGAACGTGGATCTCCCAGCTTCCCATCTCAAATGCCATGGACTTGGCCAGTAAACGCTTGAGAACTCAGGATCTTTGTACACAAGGCAAAGGACATTATCAATGTCGAAGTAAAGCTGATAATAGCCCGAAGAGTAGTTCCCTTGGCTTCTTGATGAGATGAGTTTCGAATTCTCATTGAATGGTTGAAGAGGAAGCAGAGTATCCGTCGGTGAATCGTAGCTTTGCCACAATATAAGGCCTTCAGAATCACGCAAGACAAGGTTGCCGCCATTTTCGAGCTTCAATCCAACGGCTGTGGCCGACACAGTTTTCGTTTCCCAAACTATGATGTGACCAGCATCTTTTAAAACAAGGTTACCCGATCTCAGTAGACTTAGCTTCGACGATCTGCCATTGACTGGTTGGTCCCGATTCGCCATCCAAACGATGGTGCAACTCTTAGCACTGCAGGTTGGTTTATTGAACCATATCGCAAAGGAGTAAGCGTTCTGCCCAACAGGGTGGAAACCGGCGCTGAAACTTCCATCAGGTGAAGTCAAAACATCAGCCGGAGCCTCCACTGAGAGTGATGAGCCAGCCCGTAGATAATGAGAGAGTGAAAATGAAGGATTCCATAACAAAACCGACGAGAAAAGAAGTAGAATCAATGCCGTAGCCATGGATTTTGCCAACATTTGAAGAATTGGTTTTTCTTATCTTCGGAGGGAAACTGGTTTCTGCTTTCTGGTTCATCAACAGAGTTTGTTGGGAAGAAATCTAGGTGACATGGTTGGTTTCGTCATTAAATTCCATTGAGAACAACATTTCAAGTGAATTTTCCATTTTCTAGATTATTAAACTGGTTCAATGGAATTTCATTTCGTAATAGCTGACGCTCCCAGACAAATTTGGTCATTGGCTCTGGTGAAGATTATGTAATTAATAAAGAAAGAAAAGGGTAAAAGTAAAGACACAATTAATACGCAAATAATGTCGGGAGTTGTTCATTCTTAGCTATAGGAAAAGGCAACAACAGACAACAATATTTTATTATTTTATTGATATCAATCATATTAATTGATGTCACATCTATATGATGTTATTGATAAAATATTATTCTATATATAAATCTATACTTTAAAAAAAAAAGTAATCGACCCAATAATTTCGTTTAGGGGTCATAAATTATTTGAAAATAGAAAAAGATAAAAATTAACTTCTCTTTCAAATAGGTTTCTTATGCAACATTTATTAATAATTAATTAAATTAGTGAGATATACATTAAAATTTTTATGTAAAAGATTTAATTTTTAATATTATAAATAAATTAATCAGAACTAAAGGGATCATCCTACTAATAGATTTATACACTACCCAATCTAAATTAATTGATCAATAAATCTATTAAGTCAATCAAGAAGAAATAAACAAGAGAGGGTGAATTGGCAAATAAAAATTTTGGTGAAAGCTTAAAGAAAAAATGAAAAATTCAACACAAGAATTTTAGAGTGGTTCGACTTTCAAAATTAAAGTTCACATCCACTACCTTAGCCATCCACAATAAAGATTTTCACAAATTCACTAATTTGTATCAACCTTTGAGGACAAGGTAACTTCCACAAGAATTATAACTCAAATTCTTAAGAACACTCTCTCAAAGAGAAATGTACAAATTTACAAACTTAGAGAACCCTCGAAAAGAAATTGTTTGCACAATTCAAGAACAATTGAGAACACTAAACAAATAATACAAATTAGTACAATAGTGTTCTTTGAAAGTAAAAAGAATATTCAAGAATGTTGACTTTAATTTTTGGCTCAATGTGATTGTTTTGGCTTTCTTTTTTATTTCTTATCTTCACATATGGCTTGGAATCTTGTTTTTATACCTCTCCATTCAATTCTAGCCGTTTGGGTTGTTGTGGGAATTAATAAAGTCGTTGGGATGAAAATTCCTGCAATAAATGCTGCCCAAAAGCCTTGAGTATTGATACTCCAACTAAGAGTATTGATACTGACAACATTAAATACACAAATTTGACCGTTGGAAGAGGGGAGTATCGGTACTATAGTAAGAGTATCGATACTGGCATCAATACTTGCACAGTATCAGTACAAAAAATGGCTACCAAAATTCATTTTCTCGAAAACCATAAAGGGTGTATCGGTACTCTCATCAGGAGTATTGGTATTATTGTCTATTTTGCTTAATAGTATCGATAATGGTATCGGTACTACATGAACAGTATCATTATTGCTCTTGCAGTATCGATACTGTAGGGTTTAAAATCAATTTTTTACTCTATTAAAATTTGAAACCCTTTGTAAAAGTGTTTAAAAATATATTCCAATATATGACTTTAATTTTCAAAAAGAGTAAGGAGGCAAAATAGAGTTTTTGACCTTCAAGTCAATTTCAATATTCGAACAATTTAATTGAATACAAACTTGAAAATCTAATCGAAAATAATCTTAAAATTTCTTTAAAAATATTCATTTTTGTTATATCAAAATGCAAAGCAAGGTTCAACAATCTCACCATTCTTGATATAACAAAACCTTTGAAATTTTTTTAAGATTTTAAGATTTACTCCCCTTACTCTAACATTTCTCACCCTTTTTATTTATTCAAAAGATAAAAACAATATAAATGTCCAAATCATCTAAATCCATAAACAGAATATGAAAACCATCTAAAAGCACAAAATCATCCAAATAACCAATCCAAGAATAAAAATATCTGAATATCCAAAAGTATTAGAGTACTAAAACCATGAGATGCACAAGTCTAGCAATATCATCAATAGCATAAGAGCAATCAATCATTCGAAGGAGGAGGAGGTGGAGAAACATCCGAAGATGAGGTACGAAAGGACGAGAAGTCATGATAAAGAACCTCAACTCTACTCGACATTGTGTCGATCTGATCGTACAAGGTGTCAAACTAGGTGTAATAGTCGTGCCTCGAATCTATATACATCAATTGTAGTGAGCGTTGCTGGGATAACATCTCCAAGATATGTGACTCTATCGCCAACTGTCGAGAAGTGATTTATGGAACATGAGCCCCCAAGGCATAGAAGTGAGACTCAATGGTAGCATATCGCATGTTCATCATCTCCAAGAAAGACTGAAAATAGGGAGACATCGTACTTGAATCCTCACCACCAAAGAGAGGATGATGATCATGAATATAATTCATCGGATCATCAATGTCGTACAAAACATAACCGTTCTGAGGCTGAGCTACTCCGGAGGGAGAATTGATCGCTTAGAAATGTACATGTTAAGGCAAGCAAATTTGGGCAAGTATACACAGTCGAATCAAGTAATAAAGAGTAAATGAGTTATTTTCTCCTCAGGGATTGGTAGGACTTTTGATATTTCACCACAACTAGATCTAGGTGTCAAGAGCTAGTTCCTGAATTCTTGTCAAAATAGAAATCAATTAGTAATAGATTTAAACAAAATAAAGCAAGAAAATATGATTGTATAAAAGTTTGGTCAAGGCAAAGTAAATATGAAAAACTAACGAATTAAATTGAATAAGGCAAAGACAAACGTTGATTCAAATATATTCAAAACAACCTCCCATATTTAGACTTTTCATAGAGCACTCATGATAGTCTTTTGTTATGACAAGTAATTATTCTAAGTATGGAATGATTTGTCATGATATGCTTAAGCTGCCCGACAGGATTACTGAGTATTCTTAGACGGTTGTTATAGCAATACTACTCAGCGTTAACTATAACCCTTGGTTTGTCATACTGTTGTTGCAGCAATACCTCTCAATGTGAACTATAATTGTTGTTTATCCTACTCTAGCGTCTATCCCTTTTAGTCTATTCAAACCCTCTTCTTATCTCTAAGGTAGGTAAGTTAGAATATCACCATCCCAGGTTCATTCCATTATTCACGTAGACATATCTTAATTCTCTCGAATCTAAGAATCAATGTCTAGATAAACTGCAATCTCTTGAAGCTCTTACAATGTCAAGACGTGTTTCACCTAGACCCCAGGAAATCTCTCGAAGCTCTCACAATGTCAAGGAAAAATATTTAAATAATGAACAAAACATACATGAGAAAAATCATAATATGTCATTCATAGAACATAAAATTAATTGTCTCGGCAAAAAAACTAACACCAAGTAAATCAGTTCATGGTGTTGTCAAAAAGTCATCCAAAGTTATCATCATTTAATACAACCCCAAAGTAAAGTAAAGAAATTAAGAACAAAGGAATAACGACTCCCAAAGAAGGGGCTCTATCGTGACATCTATGACTAGCACCGCATCTGCCCTGGCGGTCAGCCTCTCTCGAGGACTGATCGGCACTCTACTAAAGCCTAGCTATGGAGGACACTAAGGACGGTTGGGTTTGATAACGGTGGAAAAACACTATATTTGCTCACTCCACGCTTCAGTTAAAGCTCTTCTTGCTTTCTTGCCTTTTCTTTTTGACGGCTGTGACTGGGTATTTATTAAGGGAAATCTCCTAGGATTTTGCATAATTAAAGATTCCCTAAATACCCGTGTTTTTTTTATCAAGACTAGAAAAGGAAAGGCGGCTGGCTTTTGTCAAAATCTTGGGGGCTTAAATGAACGTGAGGGTAGTCGTACAGCTGGAATGTGACATAAGCAATTCGTCAGATCTGTTTTAGACTTGCAAAATAAACCTTGACTTGGAGAGATAAATCTGCTCCTCACTGTATTTGCCTTATGTGTTCCACTGGCCCTTGCGAAATACATTGTCACGACTGAAATGTTCCTCCTTAATTAATTTCCTGGACACATACAATCCACACAAGCCCTTTCTCCTCAGCAGCATTAGTCAAACCAAATAAATCTTGCCTAGGCAAAACTTATCCACCACGTGTAATTATACCTAAATGCAACTAAATGTGACTAATAAGCTATGAGCACTTTGTTTAGATGAATAATAACTTAAGTAAAAAGACTAGAAATAGAGTCTTTTTATGGAGTTATCACACCCCCAAACTTAAGCTATTGCTTGTCCTCAAGCAATTGATAATAGTTAAAAAAATTAAAATCGTCATGGCAAAGTAATATTAAGAAAATCACATGGTTTTTAAAATTTCAACCATCAGCAAAAAGTTTAGCCTCAACATACTTCACTGTCATATAATTCAAGTACCTTCCTGAGTCAGGATTCCTTGCTAGTGTGTGTGCGTGATTGTAATCAGTCTATGCATTAATGTAATCAGAAAACTTTAAGTAAGTACTTCTATTTTTTCAAGGCGTCAAATTATTTGTCAAGCATAGTTTCCACTCATATTTATTCATTTTTTAAGGGGAATTAGCTCATCACACCCACCATTCCACACTCTAGGTGAAAGGGAGCATACCTTCCACCCTCGAGTTAGTCGGGTAGAGTCATCCTGTGACTACTTTCATTCACTCATATGCCTAGGAAACCTTTTATTTTTTATGGAGTTTTTCCGGTTATGCCATTACATAGAGAAATGTCCCTTTTATTCTACTAAGTTTAAGCACTAAAGAGTTCAACTTTAGTCTTACAATTCTTCGATGTCTCGGCATGCATAGAGTTCTTTCCTAAAAATTTACTAATCACCTTAAGTAGAGACAACCAACAATTGTGTATATAATTTTGCAAGGACTCAAGCCTAAGGTCGGTTCTCTCCTTTCGACAGTCTTGTAAAATAATTCT